CCCGCCCCTCCCCGCCCCCCACTCTCCGCGACCTCCGATGACGTTTTCCTTTCCGAAGCTGCCACCGATTCGGGACCGTTGCACGTGTGGAACCACAGGGCACATAACCTTTTGGGATTTTTCCCCACTGCGCTTAATCCTGTGGAGATGCGCCCAGCCTGTTGCGCGCGCCACGAGGTCACTGCTGAGCGGCGTTCCCCGCGTGGATCGGCCCCGGCTCGGCGGTGCACCTGCCGATTCCAGTTTCTGGCCATCACGTACGGCTGCCACAAGGGCGTGCAGATTTCTGTGCAAACACAAGTCTATATATTTCTCTGAGATAAACGCTGAGGGATGTAATTTGCATGTTCAATTTTTAAGGAAAGTGCCAAGCCGTTTTCCAGGGCGGCCGCACCATTTTACATCCACACCAGCAGTATATGGGTGGTGTTAATTTATTCTTACAATTCGGCGGTGCACAGTTTTTCCTCTTCCTTACAGCAGGGAAAATTCTTCTCTTCCCACAGCCTTCATTTAGTGAGCTCTAGTATCGTCGTTCTAACGAGCGATGCTGCCCCCAGGGGACATGGGGCCCTGTCTGGGGACGTCTCCGGTCATCAGGACTGGGGGAATCCTGGCACCGAGGGGGTGTGGTCGAGGACCCCGCTCAGCTCCCACAGTGCCCGGGACGCCCCCCGAGAACGGCCCAGTGTCTGCAGCGTTCAGGCTGGGAAAGTTCCCAGGAGGACCTGTCCGGGCGTCACGCCCAAGGTCGGGGGTCTGGGAAGATGCCCCGCCAGGGAGCAGAGGGCACCCCGTCCTCCGTCAGGATGCAGCTTGCGCTGTCTGCCTGGTGGCCACTACGGCCACAGAACAGCAAAGGCAGGCTTGGGATTTTCAAAACATTTCCTACTTAGCAATAATGATTAAAAAAAAAAAAAAAAAAAAAAAAAAAAAAAAAAAAAAAAAAAAAAAAAAAAAAAAAAAAAAAGGAGGGTTGACACAACACTTTCGGGAGTTCTCCAGGCAGTTATGTTGCATGACAAAAGCCAATCCCCAAAGGTTACATGGTCTGTGTTTATACACCATTTACACACCGTTTTTGAGAAGACAAAATTGTCGTCAGGATGGGGGACAGGTTCATGGTTGCTGAGGTTGGGGGTGGAGGCCTTGTCGGGAGGGGCTTTTCGTGGTGCTGGTCACACTTCCACAGAATGTTACCGTCGGGAAAAACAGAGTGAACGATACGTGGAATGCTTCTCTGATTTGTTATAACTGCACATGAATCTACGGTGACCTCCGTACAAGTCTCAATTAGAAAAAAAAAAAAATCCTTCCACACTGCCTGGCTCCCCGTCCCTCCCGGCAGACATCCAGCCCCGCTTTGGGTCAGAAAAGGCCTGAGTGTGTCTGTTCTGGGAGCACAGAGCCCACGTGTGGGTTTCCAGAGGGCTCTGATTCAGCAGAGAGCTTCAAAGCAGCCACAAAACATCCAACTCAGGGAAAACTGCCCTTGGTTGGGCTTAAAAATATCTAAATTACTCAGCGCTAAATATAGATGCGAATGGAGAACAAACGGGCTGGCCCCATGGCCTGTTTTCCTTGGAAGGCCGGGGAATCCTGCTCAGCATCCACACTCAGAAGTGTCTGCCAGGACTCTAGGACCCCTGCACCGCGTGGCCACCCCCAACTGTGGCCTCTCTCCGAAGCGTGAAGCCCCCGAGTGGCTGGCTTTCTGTTCCAGGCCCAATGTCCCGAGAGGCTGCCTCTGGGCTGGGTTATGACCCAGGCCCCAGAGAACGGCCGAGATGGCTGCGCTGGGGGTGTGCGTGCGTGTGCATATACACGAACTTGTGTGCAGGAGTGTGTGTGAATGTTCGGGGCACTTGTGTGCATGTGTGTATACACACGCGTGAGTGCATGTGCACATCTGCGCATAGATGTGTGCGTGCGTGTGCATGCACGAGCATGTATGTGTGGGCGTGGGCGTGTGTGTACTTACGTGAGTATATGTGTGCATGTCTGTATGTCATAATGTGCATCGTGCGAGATGTGTTTATACGTGTGCGTGTCGGTGTGTATGTATACTGCATGCACACGCGTGTGTGTGGGCGTACGAGTGTACATGTGCGTGTGAGTGTATGGGTGAGCACGTGTGTGTGTGTGTGTGCGTGAGTGTGCGGAGATGCTAGGAACAGACACCGGCTGTGTCACCACCAGCCCGTGCAGGAGACACCAGCCTCCTCCTGGCTGGTGTCATAGTCCGTCACTGACTCACGGCCCAGCCGTGGCCCCGGGAGACCAGGCAGCTACGCTGAGTCAGCCCAGGGAACATTCCTCACCCGTTGCCGCAACACAGGAAGCACGTGATGGCACCAGGCGCCCGACCTGGCCGGACCTGCCTGGGCCAGCAGAGCCGCAGGGGGCCCCCAGGAGTCGTGGCAGAGCCGTGGCAAGCTGGGGGCAGGTGGGTGGTGGGCAGCCGGTCACCGTGCTGACTCCCGGTTCTGCCCCTGCTGAGGGTCCAGGGGAACAACCTGGGGTGAAGTTCACCTAAAACCAGAGCCTTAAGGGATGTCACCAGGCCCTGCCTGGGATCTGAGTCGAGGGCCAGGAAGCCATGCCAGGTTTGGGGGGGGCTCCTGCAGAAGAATCACATGAGCAAATGTGTGAAAGGCAAGGACAACGGAGGCCCCCCCCCCTGCCCTGGGGTATATCGTGAAGCAGAGGTAACTAGAAAGGGGGGGGCAGTGACCCCCAGACAGATCTGACCTTCCAGTGCACATAAGGATTAGACAACCCTGGGGACGGGCAGTATTTCTTCCGTGGTGGGCGCAAATAAGGCAAAATGGGGAAACAGTTTAGGGTGGGGTCTCTGCCCCCCTAGCACTTTGGACACTGGGCTGGGCTGTTCTCTCTGGGGTGTCCTGGGTGCTGTGTGGCCCGAGCAACATCTGTGGCCCCACTCCTTCAGTGCCAGGGCCCCCTCCCCCCTGTGTGACAACCACAGATGTCCCCAGACACTGCCCGGTGTCCCCTGAGGGCAGAGCTGCCCCTGGGTGAGAACCACTGGATTAGATCAGACCTTTATTCACATCCAAAGAGGTTCCATATAAACAGCCATAGAATAAGAAAGAAAATAAACACAAACTAGTGAATATTTATTCTTGGGATGCCTGGGGGCTCAGTCAGT